GGCATCCATGTTGGAATGCAACAACACTCCTACCAGTTCAACACCAGTTACTCCAGCTGCACGCTTTGCCTTAGCTGGATCCATCCCCAGTTCTAAAGGACTGGAAGCCCCCGTGTTTCCAGTCACRATTGCTGTTGTTTCCRACATACATGCTGGAAGCCAACAGCACCACCCCAGTATTCAATCAAGACCTTTTCCAGTTTTACTGACCGGAAGAAGATTCTGGTCATGACGTTGTTGTTATTGCTTTCGGCACTCGTGTCGGAATGCAATAACACCAACCCCATCCCCCAGTATTCAACCAAGACTATTCCTTTGAAGAACAACGCCTGGAGTATACTATGCTAGATCATACTCAGTTTTTTTTTCACAGAAGATTTCCCAGCATCTCCATGCAGTTCCAGTATTTCACTGACCGGAAGAAGATTCCGGTCACGATGTTGTTGTTATTGTTTCCRGCATTCGTGTCGGAAAGCAATAACACCACCTCCAGTCCTAATCCCCCCAGTTGAYGAGTGCAATTGTCTCAGCTGGATCCATCCCCAGTTCTCAAGGACYGGAAGCACCAGCAGTTGCAACAGCAGTGTTTTCTGGTCACGATTGTTGTTGGTTCCGACATTTGTACCAGAATGCAACAACACCAACCCCAGCCCCCAGTATTCAACCAAGACTATTCCTTTGAAGAACAACGCCTGGAGTATATGCTATATCATACTCAGTTTTTCAAGATGATTCCCCAGCAACATCTCCATGCAGTTCCCACAGTATTTTACAGACCGGAAGAAGATTCCAGTCATGATGTTGTTGTTGTTGTTTCTGACATTCGTGCCGGAATACATTAACACCAACCCCAGTTACTCCAGCTGAGTGATTTGCCTCAGCTGGATCCATCCCCAGTTCTCAAGGACTGGACGCCCCAGCGCTTCCAGTCACGATTGTTGCTGTTCCTGTCCTTTGTTGTGGACAGAAATAGCAACACCCCCAGTATTTGACCTCCTGACCAGGGGTGACAGGGTTATTGGAATTATTATCAGTTTCTTCTTCAAGAAGATACTCAAACAGCTGCTTCTTTGGGTGGGAGCAGCTTCAATTTGGTGAAAGAAGTGTGACGTTTCCTTTTTTCTTTTTCTTTTTCTTTTTGGCCTTTCTTTTTTTTTCTTTTTGATTTTTTCTTTTTGACTACATCATGTGTACTCGCCCACTGTGGGAAGTCTTSCCTTAATTGGCTTGGCAGTGTGCTTGGCACAAATTTCCTTGCTCACTGCATCAGTGCTGGCCTACAGGTTGGGGATTGAGCATCCCTACCCTACGGGCTTCTTGGCAGTGACCTTTGAAATGATATTGGCATGGTTCTCATCCATCCAAACTGTGAACCACCTGCTTTTATGTCCTCTGAGTTCAGCCTTGGGCCTTCGTTGGCCTATCAGTGTGCATAAAACTTGGTCGCGCCTCCACAAAACCTCCTCGGAGGGAGGCGCCGCCCCTCGGAGCAGCTGGAAGCATTCTTTCTAATGAAMGCTATGGTTCTGGCCATATAGTGCCTCTTCTAGTTCACGAGGTTAAATATAATATTAAGATTTTTTTTTTACAAGTGGCTGAAGTTTTCAAGGARAGTGATGATTTTTGCACTTCACAAACACCTGGATGCCATGGTCAGTGTTCCAACTGAGCAAGAAGTGGRTGAGTATGTTAAGGAGGCTATTGGAGATAAGCATTCAAGGCTTGGAGAACAACGTGTTTGGGGTGCTGCRGACGGACTCAAGCAAGTGATTAATGCCTGTGGAGACTGGTATAAACAAAGACTATTCTACAATGTGTGGAAGGAGAACAACTATATCAATAGTGTCTTTGCCTTTGCCCCAGACAGAAGGATTAGGATAGCAGTGTACAACTGCCTGGGGGCTTGGCATGACAGCACCATTGCTGACCATGGGATGTACCAAGAAAGGATTGTGAAGGTCCATATTACACCAGAGTGCAATGACGCAAAGGTTGTGGTGGATTCAGCTTTTGGGCTGAATGATTTCAAGGATAGCCTCATCAAGAGCTCACAGAGGGACCCTGAACAACCACAAATGATACTCCTCAACAGGGATGCAACATCCTTGAGACAGATGTTGGAATGGGATTATTTCTCCCTACTAGTGCTGCGTTGGGGTTTACACTGCTGGGGGCCGGAAGCAGTGGTTGACAYGGAAGTCGACAACACCACAGTCGTCAGTGGAGGACCAGGAGGAGCAGATGGCGGAGGGCCATAGTTATAGTAAGGAGGACCATGGTAAGATTGTTGTTGTTGTTGCCACTTATCGAACATGGAAACAGCAGTTCCAATAACTTCCCTCCACATCTCACAATTCTCTTGGTACATCTCACAATTCTCTTTGTCTATTCTTTCCTCTCCTTTTTTCCTGGCTCTTAATGCATTCATTGAATGCAGCAGCGTCAGGAACACTGGATTTCCTCTGTTGCTGATAAAATCTCTTCCTTGGGGCTGATTCAACAAGAGAAGGGGTCAAATTGCTGGAGGAACAAGCTACAGCAGCGAAATCCCCCTGCTCCTGTTGTTCTTCTTCTCCACCATCTCCAGTGGTAGATGCGTCTCCAACAAGAGTAATTGAAGCTCCTGCAGAGGCTCCATCATGGGCAGTTGATACTCCTCCAGGCTCTAAACCCTCCACAGCCTCACTCTTGATGAAACCTTTCTTCATCCGTGGTACAACCACTCAGCCGAGGTGAAAAAAACGTACCAACCGAAGATCTACAAATGCCCGCAGAAACTGGACTACCGGAGAGGAACGCAACGCCGAACAAGGTTGCATCCGTGGCAAGGGTGTCGATGGGTTGGGACGCTTCGTCGGTCGAGTCCGCACCGGGAGCAGGAGGCCCGCGAAAGCAGCGTGGATGCCAGGCCACGGTTGCAACCGCAACGGCATTGGCAAAACTAGGACGAGTGCGCTGGGGAAGAAAGCGGGCACGTTTGTGGCTGGATCGGCCAAGTTTGTTGTTTGGGCAAAAGGCAGTCCGTGTTAGCGTCCCTCGGTCTCCACCAACATACCGTGCGGCGGTAGCAGCATCGTTCTCGCCGTCGCAGCAAGCGACGATGGAAGCCGTTGCAGAATYCAGCTCGTGTATTCGGCAGGACGACACTTCTTGCGACTCTGTGCGCCTGTTCTGACTCTGGCAAACACCACAGCGCATCCGCGTTCGACGCGTTGTTTAGGGGTTGCAGTGGCGGTGAGTGGATGCAATTGTGTCAAGACATGTAACATAGTTGCGTTATTGCTTTTAATCTTATTATAGTTTGCGTTTGTTCACCTGTCAATCATGGTTTGATGTGCTTGTTATGATGAGAAGTACAGTAATACTCAAGCTAGTATATACCACATCACATCGACGTTCGTTCCCCGCAAACGACAGCGGAGCAAGCGTTGTTTGATTCGACTCTATTGGATTCGGTGCCATTCCGGATTGTTTGGTTCGTTTGGTTTGTTTGCTCCTCTCTTTCCTTTCTAACCCCCCGATGCAGCGATGCCATTCCGTTTTCTCCTTCGATTCGCTCCGGACCACGCCTTCCGAAACGTGCAGCAGAACCCCTTGCCACGAAGCAAGTTSTCTTCCCGTCGTGCGATTGTAATCGTGATTGTGGTTGTGTGTGATTGCACGTGAGTGTGCGTGTGTTTGCGGCTGCGACATACGCAGCCTAGTTCGTAGTGGTGCAGTGYAGTTCATTGCATTGCGAAAACAGAAACATCRGTGAACCGTTGCGTGGTTTTGCGCCCCTCCGCGCCAGTCGTCCCCCCGTGCCCAAAGCGTGTGTGGGTGTGGGTGTTGGTCTTTTGCGATTCGATTCGATTCGATTCGATTCGTTGTGGGTTTGTGCGATCCGGGTCACCACCGGACGCGACGACGTGCGAAACGGTGCAGCGGAACGCCGACCTCGGGTTTCGCATCGAGTCGCCCCGCATAGATGGGTCGGACTGCATCACACCGCATCACACCACATCTCACCGCATCGCATCGCACCACATCACACCGCACCGCATCGCACCACATCTCACCGCACCGCACGCCGTTTGGAGCTATTGCCACGTGAGTTGGTTCGGGCGGTAGTAGAGCATGATGTTGTCCTCCTCGTCGTAGGGGTCCTCGTAGTAGTTTTTGTTGAAGGAGATGTTCTTGTGGAAAGAGGTGTTGCTCCCGCTGCTGCGGTTTCGCCAGGGCTTCTTTGGGTAGGTCGAGATCTCCGTGGGAATCGACGAGCGACGGGGGAGGTCTCGTTCTCGTTCTCGCGGGTGGTCTCGCTGTGGCGGTCGGTGTTGCTGCTGCTGCTGCTTCCGCAACCAGTCCCCGCTAGCGCTCTGGCGTATCCTCCTCCCGCGGTAGTCCTGCCGGGCCTTGAGCTGGGCGGCAATGGCGGCCTCGGCGCGGGCCTCCAGGGCCTGCTGCTTCCGCGACTTCCGGAGGGCCTCGCTGGTTTGGCCGTCGCCGTGGTCCGCACAGGTGTAGGACTCGACGGTCTCGAAGCAGTAGTCGAGGAGGTCTCCCTCGTGGCCCATGGCGCAGTGGGGGGACGGCGACGCTTCCGCGGCGGAAGCGTGSGGGCCGAGCTTCTGCGGGGTCCCGGCGGGCCCGGTTTCGACCAGCGAGTTGTCCCGCTGCAGGGAAAAGGCCTCGAGGTTCTGCTGGTGGTGCAGCTTGTGGTGGGAGGCGTCGGCGCCGTAGTAGTCTTCGTACTCGAGGTGCTTCTTCGCCGACGCCTTCGATGGGCTTCCGCCTTGCCGCTCGTGCTTGTAATCGTGCTCGTCGTCGTCGGCACAGGTGAAGGATTCGACGTGCTCAAAGACGTAGTCCAGAACGTCCGGCTCGGGGACGGGCTCCTTGGCCAGGGAGGCAAGGTCCGAGTGCCGGGGGGAGCAAAAGGCCGCCTCGGCAAAGGAAAAGAAGCGGTCCATCACGTCCTGCTGTCCGTGGGCGTGTGGTTCYCGGAGCTTGCTCCCGGCTTTCGCGGGCGGCGCGCCGTTTGTTTTTCGCGGGGGGGTCACGACGAAGCGCCTGCGGCGGGCGTCCGACATCCTCGCTGCTGCGGTGCTTGCCATGGTGGTTCCGGGGAGCGACTCGACTCGACTCGACCCGACCCGCTGTGGCACTAAAATTCACACGCACCCGGGGATCTGTCTGGCCTGGGTTTTGGAGATGTTCCTTGCGGTGCTTTCGGGTTTGGGTGCTTGGACTCGGTGCACAAAACGGTATGGCAGAGTACAGTGCGTCAGAATCGAGCAACACTCCGCGTTTCTTGTTTTGTTTTGTTTTGTTTTGTTCTGTTCTGTTCTGTTCTGTTCTGTTTGTTGCATTTAGCACATTTCAGTACGTACCCGCATCGAAAAGAACAAGTATTGTACCGTACGGTACGGTAAAGGAAACATACCGATATGCATGCCATTCATTCGGGGTTTCGAACGGTTTCAGACACTAGCGTACAGTATCSTACCGTATCTACGAGGTGGTACGCATCCAGCGACTGTGAAGAGAACCCTTTCGCGCGCTTGTTTCGGGTCACTAAACTGTCACGCACACGCACGGCATCCAACGAACGAACGATTGTTCATGTGGCATCTCATCTTTTTTTAAGGTACTATGGCGGGMAACCGCAAAATTCAGGCTTTYCACCGAGGCTGTCGGTCTATCTCGTCAAATTTCGAGCGGGTTCGGGCTGTATCCCGGATTAGGTACGAGTACTCCTATGTGCCTACGGTACGGAAAAGTACTTGTACCCTACGCTACCGACCAAGCCGGTGACGAGTATCGTATTGATTGAACAAGACAAAATTTTACTCCGATACGAATTCGAACCCGAAAAATAAGTACTAGTACGTAGTAATACTATTGTAGTGTGCTGTTGGTTACGTTTGTACACAGTATGAACTCCTCTCGCTGTAAAAGGTTTGTACTTCAAATTACAGTACGTACGTATGTACCATACGATTAGGGACTCGTACCGTAAACCTTACCGTACGGTACCTGGTATGTAAGTACCCCTCGAGTCAACGAACATGTAACTCTTACGTATCGAACTGCGAATGCCGTACGTACCGGTACGTAAAAGCAATCGTAATCGTAGCGTACTATCAAAAAAAACAAAAAACGCAACAAAAAGATACCGAACAGAAAACTCCTCGGATCCATAGTCTCTCGGAATGCTTGTTCGTGCTGTTTCCGGCACGCCCCGTGGTCTCTCGGCGCAGGCAGRTGCATCGGGTGGAAAGAAACACACCGCCATGATGGATCCCATGCCGTGCGCCGTGTTCGCCTTGGACAAACAACCAGGGCATTGCAGGCCGGACAGATGTCATCGCTGAGTCTTCTACTGGTACACTCCCGTGATGGAATTGGGTCCACCAATTTCCGACGCATTTGCTTGCAGGCCGCAAGTTGTCCTTCTCGCAACGAATGCAGCAAAACACCAAATCTATTCCGTCGCGAGAAATGAGCACACGTGCACAGCTGTCGAGTGCCACACACCCGAAAGCRTTTTTCTTGTTCTTGGTACCGTACTTTCGAGCCCAGAAGTACGGCACATTATTCTCCTARTACCTGTATCGTTGAACAAACTGACAATGGCTGAAAATAGTAGCACCAGCATCGTTCCCCCACTTCCCAATGAAYAGAAGAAGACTACACGTGACAGATGAACTGTGGTGCGGCATGGATCCAGGCAAGATTTTCTTCTTGCGAACTTCCTTCTTCATTGGTTTTCGTGAAAATCTTGGTTCACCACTCAATCTTGCTTCTTTTCAGGCACCAGGGAAATCCAACAGACAGCACTGGATCCAAAAAGCATTACTGTACCGTAGTTGGTTGCTTTGGTTGCATGACAAAACAAGAAGAAAYTCTCTGTGGAACCACTGTGAGGCTAAATCACGAATAGCTAGTGAATAAACGGCAACAGCAATCACTGCCACACGCCTCAACTCACTCTTTATTGTAAACACCTACGGTACCGTAGTTATACCACACTAAAGAGCAGACATTTCGCAGGTTACATTTCGCAACCACTTGCGCTACCGGCCGGTATGCTGTAAATTTTGTGTCTGTCTGTMTATCAAAAATAACTACGAATACCGTAGGTTTTGAGTGGGAGCCTAAATCATTTGAGAATCAAAAAATAATCGACTTTCAGTCGCGGCGAAGTTGGGACTTACGTGATATTGTCCTTTAATTAGACATTTTGATTTAGTGCAATCAACCCTCGAAACAATCTTCCATACCAACGAGCGCGTGCAGAGTCCAATAATTTTTTGATCGAAGTTCTTCTATTGCCTTCTTTCGCTCTGTTCTCTTGCGGATTGATCCAGTTGGTTTCTTAAGTAAAAGTTAGAGACTTCACAATTTATTGTCAGTCATTTTCTTTCCTGTCGAGGTCCCTTCYTCTTTTGGATCTGCTTATAGGATAACCGTTGAACAGTCATTGGATTGACTTCGCTAATCGATGTAACACTTCGTAGCATCTGTTTGATGCCAACCCGAAATAGTTGGATCGGAATCGGTTCACTTAACGAATATGGGGCCCATCTTGCTCATTGGAATCCTGTCTTTTGTGCCAAGCGTTACGGTAAGAACTTCCAACTCCTTCTACTATTCTTAATTAACACGGGAGGGATTTAAGAAAAATGTGAAATGCTCTGATTCAAAAACACTTTTTCAATTCTTTTGCGTATGGTTCTTCTTTCTCCCCCGGGTAGCATAGTACGAAGTATTGAAATGTCACCAAGGACATGGGCAGTCCAATAGCAGAGCCGCGAGAGAATATATGTCAATATGAACATTAATTGAATCAAAACTCGGGTGCACGAAGAACAATTCAATAAAAGTCCGGCATCGTTAATCCTGGTTTTATGGGATGTAGAGCCCAATAACAACAACTCCTTTTTGAAAAAGGAAAGAACATACACGCACTTAGCTTTTCTGTCCGCGGCACCTGCCTCTGAATTGTTGCACTCCGAAGGTGCCAATGAGTCAATGTGTTGTGCTGCGTTGTCCCTCGAGTGCGTGTATTGCAATGGCGCATCTGTTCGTGCCGTAATGCCGAATTTGTAGAAAGAGATGACGGCAAAAGTATTACTAGTAGAGATACATCTACGTTTTGCTAACATACTGCGTGAAATAGATGCAGAGGCTAGGAGGAGCTTGCCAATTCGAAAAATCAAACCGTTTATTATCATTGCTTTAATATGTATTATGCTTTCGTATAACATTGCATCATATCCTAAAAAAGGCACGGAACTCGTAGCCATCAAAACAACAAAGGCACTTCTTCGATTATCGCCGCGCTCCCTTTTTGGTTTTCCGCTGTTTGTTACATCCRTTGAATCCGGTCGCAACTGCGTTTCTCTTCCTTGTTGTTGATGTTCTTATTCTTGRAGGGGACGTGTTCGAATTGCAACACGTGGACCATGACGACACGGTTTCCGGCACCGCACAATCAAAGGTATTAGAATTGGTTTCGCTACCATGGATTGGACTTTCATTGTTTACCGTATCTGGTGAGGAAGACACCGTTTCTGGCGGCATCATGACGGTATTGGTGGTTTSCGCTGTGTGCGACTGGGCTTGCTCCATTCGCTGTCCTTGTTGCTGTTGTCGTAGAATCTGTGCTTCGTCCAGACCTAGTTGCTTCTGGTTCTGGAGCTGGCGAAAAAGCTCGAACTGCGCTTGTTGCCAATGCCATCGCTGGAGCTGCTTGTGGCAAAAAGGACGAGTTGTGTCCAAGTAGGCGATGTCAGCAGGCACCAACGATGATTCACCGCATGGACAGCTTGAGGCAGAAAGTACCACGTTCGCATCCGCATCCGCATTTTCCTTTGTGTTCGCATTTGTGTTCGCATTCGTGTTTATATTCATTCGGAGATTTTGGTAATCTAATTTGACGTTCACCGATGTGATTCTTGTAGAGGGCGAGGACGACGAAGAGGAAGAGGGAAGGCTCAGGCGCAGGTTGTGCTTTCGTTCGACCTTGGTCAGAGTGGGCTCGGAAATCCCGTCGAGGCTGGGTACAATGAATTCCTCCAGTGTGGTGATCGTGATTTCCACGACCGAGGAGTCAGTCGCTAACGAACCAGAATAAGGTTCTTTTGACGGATACGCTGTTGAGAGAAGYGAAGGTATCATCGTTGATAAGAGATAAAGAGGAATGTTGAACGTGCTACKTTCAATTTTGTTGAGTGTTTCGTGTTGTGCTCGGATTTTGTGGCGAGGAGTGYGAGCATCAGTTATCCACCTTTTTGTGGATTATTTCGAACCAATACACAATAAGCGGCAGAACACTTYTCTGTATTTTCTTGCCTTTACTTAATCTTCGTGTCTTCCACAACGGAAAACCATTCCGAATGGGTTCTTCGGACACATTGGTGTGTCAGTTTAACTGAATTTGCGTTAAGAGTATAAGGTGTACGAAATTCCATCTACGAAAGAACATTTATTTACCTCTTAGCATTTCGGGAGGGCAATAATGAAAGATAAGGTTTCACTAAATACGAGCCCCGTCGTGTCATCTTTAATCTTCAATGGTACGACGTTTAAACAAAAAAGGTCATAGAATCCCAACGGGCCTTTGTTATGATAGTAAAGAGGAACCTTCCAGAAACAAGAAAATCGACTTTTGAGTTCTCGCAAGAGCTCTCCATTGACATTCTTATTGCGGGACGGAGGGGCATTAAGTAAATAGAAAATAGATAATTTTTACTTCTACTGGAAATTCCAATTCATAGGTATGCCTTTGGTGCATCTTGGAAGTAATTCGAAAGACAGTTGTTTTCGCTTTCGCACAGCTGCGAACCAATCAGAAAGTTCATTCGTGACATCCAAAGCGAAAAACAGCTTTTCCGGCAAAGCTTAGTCAAAGGAACAGAGATGATCGTGACTGCA